CAAGGAAGTCAAAGGCAAAAGGTATCGACTTTAGCTTCGAGGCAGTGAAAATCGTAATGAGAGCGGCAAGGGACCTAGTAATCAGGACGACAACACCAAGGGAAAAAGTCTATGAAAAATAACTTTGCATTTTCACTAGGAATTCTCTAGTTGAAAGTTGCGTTTACCACTTCGAAAGATTCCAAGGAATTCCTACTCTGAAATATCATATGAGGAAAGTGCAGAGTTTCAAAGAGAAAAAGATCAATGAAAACAAAAGCTACGATGAAAAAGAAAACGTATAAAGACAACGATAGCAATGCTATGCTGTGTTGTGATACTACTTTGATATAAGTTGGTTTAAAAGCTTTATTAGTAATGCTGACTATTGAATATCAAGTCCAGCTATGACCTCGGTGCTAGAAAAAAAAAACGGGTTTTGTGGGTATATAATTAAATGATCTGAGGATCAAATTACAAGATCTCTGGTCGGTGGGAATAGTATTTTCGCAAATACAAGAAAAATATTTTGAGCCCACCTTAAGGTGGATATTGACAGTCTAAAACATTAAATTCTGACCAGTCTCGACAGAAATTATGGATATCTTCAAATCGTTTACATAAAACCAATTTGAAAAACCCGCCAGCGAAACAAGTTGATAAAAATTAAAGTTCAATTATTTACCTGCCCTGAGTCAACTTCAATAAAGTTTGATCCGTTTGTTGAAGACTGGAGCGTAAAGTTTGTAGACTCTGCAGCATTAGGCTTTCCTTGCACTTCGATGCCGCATATTACGTAGCTTTTACCTAGGCTTATTTCAAGATATGGATCAGTGTCACTACCATTTGTTAGCGGACACCAGGCGCCAGTTCCGGCCAGGCGACCATCTTTGGCTGGAAAACCAGGGAGCACCGAGCTTGCAGTCATGTTATCATCAGGTATCACTTTTAATTCATCACGAACACCCACGGGCGTGTCAGAACACGAACCTGAACGTTTGCAATCAAACAAATGTGCTTAATTTTTCGAGAATTTTACACGCACAAAGGTGCAATAAATATGATTAGTAGAATATTCAGTCCACCTCTGTTTAATAAGGCCACAGTGTGAGAGGTCAGTAAACAGATTTAGCCAAGCTTAAAAGCTGAGCTTCAGTCAGTTTATTTTACAGCCCAGCCCTTAACTTTATCAGAACTCCTTACAAACTGTCGAAGAGTTTTTTTCCCGAGCTGTAGATTGTGCAATAATGAAATGAGAATCCAAATTACAACGCTGTTAGTACGAATAATCATATGATATTCGCGCACAGGCACGTTCGATACACTGATTTACTGTTGAAACTTTTAATAGTGTTATGACAGGGGGCCAATCGTATAAAACAGATTTCAAAGGAAAAAAACCATAACGTACGACTCAAACCGAACTGCATTAACTGCGCGATGCATTCTTAACAGCGCAATTTGTGAAACAGCTTATCATTTCATGTAATAATCCTATCCTGAGATTATTTTGTTTCACATGTTTCACCAATAGTTTCTTTGTTAAAAGTTAGTTTTTACTTCTCCTTGGTAAGGATTAAAGTGCTGCTAGTAGATGCAAATTATTTTACACCATTTTAGGTAAGGGCAAGCGGTGGAAGGTATATTTTGAGATATAACATAAACAGCACGAATACAATTTTTTGAACAATGCGAAAAAAAGCTAATGAATTTTCTAGAAATCCTTTTACATACAATGAATTGAATACATGTTTATCTTTCTTCTCCTTTTTATTCCGATAACGGCTTAATTAAGTCGCCAAAGTATTGCGTAACTTTCCCTTGAATATTTAAAAATTATTTCTGTCTTTCTGGTTGTCATTTTTTTATTCATCACTGTTCTGAAGTAGCTATTACATTTTACAGTCTGCTGTGTTCCCTTCTGTTTTTGCAGAAATTGGACCGCATTTTAGATTTTTCGATGACAAAACGTGAATGATGCCTCAAGGGTGACCAAAAAAAAAAAAAACATAATAGAAGAAACTTTCAAGCGTAACCAAGAAAACTAATTGTTACCTGCTTTTCTAATAAGTTCGGTTCTTTTAGGAAAAAATGTCACGCGAACGAGCAATGGTGGACGCAGGAAGTTATTAGAACGACGGGAAGTTGAGAGCAGAAATGAAATGATGAAATGCGTCTCTATTTAGGCGAATAAGTTGCAGAAATTTTCGCCTATCATAAATTATTAATAATATTAGAAAAACCATCTGTTGCAATTTGTCCTCGCTTTCGCGAAAAGAAAATTACCAAATATTAATTTGTATCAGTTTTACTATTAAAAAAGTAGTACCAGAAAAACTCGATAAGGTCAAGTCTTTTCCGTCTGCTTGAAAACTGACTGTAAATGATTACTATCCCACCAAGCAGAATTTTCAATATTGATCATAACAAGTGAAAGTTGCCTCGAGGTAAACTCCATCACGTGGTTGCGCGTAACAAAGAATTTGACCACCTAAAGCAATTGGAATAAAAAAAATTGCTTGAAGTCACTCAAGTGTAGTTTGCCTTTGGCAAAAAGTTTTTTCTCAGAGGATTATATTTGGGTTGTTTAGTTTTAAGATTTTCAGAATGGCAGATGTTGTCTCCCGTGGATTTATTTGCGTGTTGCACCAAAGTGTCGCTGAGCAACCTCGGTATCATGTTGTGTTGCTTTGAGAAAAAGTTCGAATAGCATGCTCATTTAAAATAGCTTGAAATCGTTATTGACCTGAAAATCTAGAAATGTTTCCTTTCACAGACGTATTTTTAAGCAAATATAAGAAATTCTACGATCATCAAACTGCCGATTTTTGATGGGTGTTTGGTACCACTCGTAGTAGTCGTTTCTCGAATTTCAATGTTATACAACGAGCGTATTTCAATTATTCAAAAGCGGAATCAGTCAACATCTTTCCATATTTGCATAGTCTTTGATAAGTTTTTGCGGGATAGACAATGCAAACCGTTTTTTTTTTTTAAATATAGATATATATTTTCCTCCTAGAGGTATCCATATAAGGTTGCCAAGAATCACCGTTCAAAATCGCAAACTAATTCTTTCTTGAATTTGTCGTACATGCCATCGCAAATTATGTTTCTTGTATTTCTCTATATTGAAATCACACTTGAACAACCATCTCCCTTTCAGTTTCTGGCTAGGAGTCGATAGGGAAGCTCAAGAGAACTACAAAGACTCTTTAGATGATATGAAGCTGTATACTACGTTGTTTTGCAATTCTCGTTTACTTCTTAAGGAGGAAACATAATCATGCTTCCAAATATATCTACCCCGCCTTCCAAATTCTAGAATTAAAATTGAGAAATATCAGTTGTTTGTCTGGGAAACTAATCAGTTATTCAAACCAGCCCCTCCGTGATCAGCAATTCTGTTATTACGTTGAATGAACTATCGCTAGACTAGTCGCAGTTTTTTTGAATTTAATTTGTACTGCTGGCCTGCATCCAAGACCACTTCAAGGAAAGGCGGTAGAGAGAGAAAAAAATATAGGTCTCTAACAGTTGGTGGTAAAGATATATGTGCGAAAATCACCTGAGATTACGTCGGCTTTCCATTCAAAGTGAAAGCGCTTTCCTTCTTCAGTGCATGCACGCGGAAAATTAGGTTTCAGATCCTTGATGTCTAACAACATAGCTACTATGCGCGTCTCGGTAGAGTAAAAACATTATTTTCGTATTTTCTCCTGATAAAGAAACTCCTACGTCTCTGCATAGTTATAAGAATAAAAAGTGGCAAGGTAAAGTTACCTTCGCAGAGATTTAGAGATCCCAAGCACATCAGCACCAAGAAAAAAGTGGCAAACTCTGCGTAGATGTATCTTGGTTTCTTGGCCATTTCACGTGCCATGAGCACTCGATGAATTACAAGTTTTCACCTGAGAGAACGTGGTGTGAACTTTTTCCTGTGATAACTACTTCTTGTTCAACGGAATCACGTTGTAATCTTGGGGAAACGAACAAATAAATGCAGGAATTGGGGATATTTCAAGCGTGTAATGTCGTCTAATTCGCCGTCAGCGATAGAGTTTGGAGTGACAATGTATAAGTTTTGCATAAAACTTTAGTAATTTTGTTATGACAACTCTGGGTTTGTAACTAGGGTATTATCCATTCACAACGGTTAGCGAAATCATAAAAATGTTGGCGCTTTGACCCCCTGTAAATAATCGCGGTCGGAGATGGGTGTCGCCCGCAACTATTCGCTGTTTTAATCTACCTCGTTTGCATTTCCCTTTCTTCAACTCGTCTTACAGATACCACGGAGATGATATAACTGCTTACTTTTGAGATAGAATCGACGATGCTTTGCTGTTCAGTTACCTAGGTAGCATAAAAGTTGGAGAAAACACTGTCTTAGTCCCTTTCGCTCAAATGTATCGAAGGGATTCCGTTTTATAATTATGACGTCATATATTTGGCACATGATCACGTATTCAGGTTCTTCTTTCAAATGACAGCGGAAAATGAAGATCAATGAGTACTATACTCGCAAATGAATTATTTGAAAGCGGGTAAATAGGCATCCTTTCTTTCGTATGCTACAAATTTTATCTTGCACGGCAAAGTTTCAGCCGAGAAAGCGCAATGTTGAACGTGGAAAACAAAATTAAGAATATTCCAGACTATAATTGTTTAAATGATAAACGCCGCCACTTATAAACGCCACTCTTGTTTATAACAAGGCAGAATTAATTCGAGGATTAATTGAGAAAAAAAAATACCAAGTAAAATGAAACTCGACAATCTAGACCATCCTTTGAAATTTATTTTCAAAGAGCGTGAGATATGAACGGTTATCATATTTTATGATGGGAGCATTGGGATTTTCGGTTTTGGCTATATTTTAGATCGGTTTTTCGTTTTTTGTGCCGGAAACCTTTGGTCTTTCCGTTTTGGTGTACTTCGCGGTTTGCTGATATTTTTTTAGCATTTGGTTTCCCGTTTTCGTTAAAAGTACTTATGGGTTTGCGGATTTGATATGCGATGTGGTTTGAGTATTTTCCTTTTTGGGTTCCGGTTTCTCCTCGGTCTGGGCGGAAATTATGCGCCTCCACTGATCTCGAATAATTGCGAAACCTATGTACGCTTCACTTTTTACTTCCTGCACGAGACCGATTAGGGTTTTGACAACTGGAATGTGAAGATTAATTAAACGGTTTTGGCGGTTTTGCAAGCGGTTTTCGGTTTTGATCAATTTTTTTCGCGGTTTTGCATGATTTCTTAAACGGTTTTGCGGTTTCTAATGCGGAACTAAGTGTCTCTCTCCTCTGTGTTTTATTCATACGAATTATAATTTTGATAACGATTTAAGAAGGAAAAAAATTATTTATTCATTATCGTTATGAAGGCACAAGGAATTGTCCTGTGAGATCTCGTAGAAAAGTATTTTAGAATATCCAAGAGAGTTTCTTGATTGAAATTCTGAGACAATCTTCCAGGATGGAAAGCAAATTCCAAAAGATAATGTGGCTGCTGGCAAAACCACTCCCAAAATTAAAAAACAAAAACAAAAAAACAAAACAAATTAAAAACAAAGACAAAAATATGTTTTACAAAATTGGTATGGTAAAGTTGGTATTTGACAAAAAAATGCTTGTTAAAGTGAGTAGAGGTGTTATCTCCCCTCGATTTAGGGTAAGTCCTATAGTTGGCAATATCAATTTGTAACGGATCAGCTCATTCGAAACGTGACAGGCTAAGGCAGACAATATTATCGACAAGGTTTCATTGAGGTTTATCCAATACGTCATTAATATTATTTCTGCCAAGATTTAAAAACCATTTTTCCCGTGGACTTAGACAAAAAGTCATACCAACCAAGTCACCCCATGAATAAAAGACTTTTCCTTTTGCAAAAAAAGTAACAGTTTTATTTATTTTTCCCCAGGAATTTTATTAATATAAAGTTAGGGCCTTTACAGAAATTTTAGAATTCTTAGGAATGGTTCAAATTAAAAAAAGGGTCCCAGTCTCGTTGAAGTCTTTGCTCAACCTGTGCAGCTGCTTCATAAGCTATCTTACTGAAGTTCTTACACTCCCACGTTCATCTTCTTTCACGGTAAATGAACCCTATGTCTCCTTTTAAATATGGACATTTAAATATCGAGACCTTCCTCCACACATTTGAAACACTTTTAAAAGGAGCGAAAGGCGAACAACGGTTACGCAGTTCATTGACATGAGCTGTAAGTTTCTGATGCTCATTGTCTTTGGCGTACTGCTCTTTTATCCAATCGTGATCAAGGTGAGAACATTAGCCTTACTGAGATTTTTAAGACAAAACTAAAAAAAAAAAACAAAACAAAAACAAAACACCACTAAAGATACGAAAACATCGTCGAGGAATTTATTGTGCCAGACGAAACAGGAATTTAACCCTAATAAAAGTGTAAATAAATCTATCGAAGCTAAATCTCTCAGTAATCATTGTAAAGCTGTGAGAAGGAGAAAGAAAGAGGGAAGTAAAGAGCTTTAGCTCAACAAGTTCAGCTGATTTATATGTATGTTAATATTGGACTGTTCCTCATTATGCCCATTATGTAAAAAACCCTTCTCTTTATCGATAGTACCGACTTCCTTCCGCTCGCCTGTTCTTCCGTTCGACTAAAATTTTCACCTCACCTCTGATCATTTTAGGCGACATATGTTAAAGCTATTTCCAACGTGGAAGCCTCTGACAAACGCTACAGGGAACGAGTCTTCGATGACGTAAGTAGAGTTCTCTGTCTGTGTTTTGTCATACGCGTATGTTGTCATACGCGTGTGTTCATATTCGATGCGTTGGAGGTGAGTCCCTTTTTTCAATTCGAACAAAAAAAAATGGTTGGAACTTGTTTTGTATCATATCCTTAAAAACAGATTATTCTTCCTAGTCAGCTACAGAGCTTTCCACATTTTTTGTTCATTTATTTTTTAAGTGCGGACGCTGTAATTGGAAAAGCCGGCTTTACACCTACGGGCACTTTAAATAGGTCAATATTTAAAGTGGTGCTCATAGTCTTAGCAGGAAAAACGTGCTGTGAATCACGTAGACATTTTTGTGATTTGAATAGTTTATTAAAAACGGCGAAACACACGAAATGGCAATTCAATTCAATAAACTTATAGAAATGCATGCGAAAAAAACTGTCCCGACACAAGACGCTAAAATTAAAGCTGCTGGACCCTTGCAATGACCTTACGTACATACGGCGCGGTTTTAGACAAAGATCTGTGAACAGAAGCACCCGGCCAGTCTGCTTTGGCTTTAAGTGTTGCGAGGAAATTACAGCGTTAACACTCGAGCATCAATTAGAAAAATCACCATCGAACTGATATTCTGACTATTATTTTTTTTAGCAAGGTTTTCCAGCATATAGAAATGTTTCTAACCTGGCGATAAACATCAGTATCCAGGGAGCAGCCTTTAACGTAAGTTACTTGACTCGATTATACCAACAAATTAACTTCGGTCTGCCATTTACAAAAACTCCTAAAATTAGACGTTGGAAAAGTGTTTCTGTGTATAACGAGTACACAGTTCGACCGCTTGCACTTTCTTGTAGTTAATTCTTTCTTATTTTAACTCAATATTTTATTTACTGAGAATTCCTCTGTCTCAACTCTTGCTCTTTTCGTAAAGCATTCTCAATGTTAGACCATGCAAGGCCAGAAAACTTTTTTTTTTCAGGATCTTACACCTTAACCTTAACTACTTATCAAGTTTCGACTCGACACCCTCACCAACGTTAGGTCCCCCCCCCCCCCCCACCTCACCCCCACCACCCTTAATTCATTATTTTGTCCTGGATTTGATTCTTTGAACTGGTTTCGTTAGCGGGTTGCGCACACTCGTTCGCGGGTTTTCTCTCCCCTTAAAGCTGACATTCAAATTCTGAACGTGTTGCTGCATCCAAAATTGGCCATAGTATCGAAAAAACTCATAACTTCTCCAATGTAGGAATTTAAGTCACATAGGGCCAATAATCTTATACTTTTAAGATGGAAAATTGTGGATAATTTTTAGCTATACCTTCTACTTCTAAACGCCAAAGGGTTTTCCATTAAAAGCGAGCTAATCTAAGCTTCTAACCCATTTTTTACGTGAATTCTTCAAAGCTCAAAGGTTGAGAAACATCCAGGCATTATGCACGATGTGTCTATCCCACATTTGTTTTCATAATCCAAAGAAAATTGTTTTTTATTTTAACTTCACTGTTTCAGATTGTAGACCAGTTTGACATATTCTGGACCTGGATCAAAAGTTTTTTCGTGGAGAGCTGGATATTAGCTGCGATCTATTGCATGTTCTACTGTAACTAAAACATGATCCATGTTGTCAGTTTCATAAATTAAAAAAGTAATTAAATAATTTATTCGTCTGCTTTTGGTGGAGTCCATTGAGATTCGTGTGATTGTAAGAGTTTAAATGTACTAAATGCTTCATCAGCCTTTACAGATCTTACTCTTGTGGTGGGTGGGTTGTGGGAGGCCCGGGTACTAAGAAGACTTCTTTGAAGTCTGCTCGAGGATGCATTGGGAAAAATTCAAGTTGGCTCGCATGATGCCCGCAAAAACGAGAAAAAGATAATAGTAACTTCTCATGAAACATATTTTGCAAGATAGCTGGTAATGTTTCCTCACAAAAAACACGCGAAACATTAGCTAGAGATTGTAAATATAGATCAACTGCATTGTGCACGCGATAACCGTATCGTTGAGAAGAGATCGTAAATGCTATCGCCTCAGCTTTGTTTGCCAATGAACAATAGACGAAACGAAAACTTCATATCCCATTGATTCCTTTATAAAGTTTTGGTCTGAAGTGTTCATAGTATTGTTTTATTTGAGCGACGTTTCTGTTTAACTTTCGCGTCGTTTAAATCACATCTTTCTGAGTATAGAATTCCTCGTTAAGGCCTTTCTTTACTCTAAGCAACTGATCAAACTCATGTGCTATTCTGTACCAATATAACTCGTTCACCTTCTTTGATGGCAAATAAACTTTGAGTCTGTATTTGTTAAATCCTGAATGCTTGAAAACTACCTTCTATTATTCATTTAAACATCTCAGAAAAGGAAAAGAAAGGAACTGTATCTCCAGTATAACCACAGTTACTTTTACTGAAATGAGCCCAAAGCCAAAGATGTCCATTCTCGTTGCTCTTCTGGCTTTCTTTACAACCACCATCAAGGTAGGAATTTTTTATCTACCGACGACAATGAAGTCTTCAATTTTTTCAATATAAAATCATGAGATTATCCGAGTCGATCGCTTAAATTAAGTTAAAGGATACTTAATTCATACGTTGTTAAGATAGATAACTCACTCATTCTCCTTCAAAATGCTGTGCACTTGAGAAACGAATCGCATCGTTATTTTAGTGGGCAATCAAATGTTATTTACAGTAGCAGTCGGCTTGCTTTCAATTGTTTCATGGAAAATAGAACATCGAGGAGATTTACTAAATGTGTAAATGGACTATTCCGTTAGAACAACATATCGCGGGAGTCACAAAAGGTACGCTGAAAATACCGACTAAGGCAAAAGTGGGTATTTCTAATTATTCAGGTAAATCTTAGATTACAAAGGAAATCTTTTCGGTATCTGGCTCGACTCGAAAAAAGTTTGATTTTAATCTGATACTTCCATGTTTGCATTCTGTTAAAGATGGTTGTTGACGATTCCAAAGTAGTTCGAAGATTTCTTATATGCAGTCAACGTGAAAATAAAGATCAGGAGAAAGAAGTAACTTAGCGTCGAACAAAATATGTATATCATGCATGTCAATTTTATTGTTGGACCGTGGAGCCCCCTCTCTTCGACAATGATATCGCAATCCTTTGCTGGTGTGCTTATTTCTGTTTTCTTTTTTCTATTATTCAGGCAGAAACAACACTCTCTCACGTAAAGGCCACTTACAATCGCTTCAACAATAGAATCTCTAATGTCGACGTAAGTAAATCCATACCTGTTTCGTAATTTTGCTGTCGTATGTTCTTTTGTCAATGATTGACTTTGTATATTTGAATATCAATATATAAATGAATCTATGGATATTTCATCACTCTTATCTTCGCATCTTACCATTATCTTCGCATTTTGCCATTATCAGTGGTTAATTTCTGTTTTATGTGAAGATCTTTGTGTGGTTTTATTGAAACATTTTATAATTACTTAAAATGGAGCATGGTTGTGCGGAAAATCAAACCAAAAAAATTAGGAGGCAGCAAAAAATGGAAATAAAATAAATAAAATACAAAAGTCAGTGTCCAGTCATGTCCACTAACAACGGAACATCAAGGGGGAACGGAGTATCTCTGATGAGTTCAGTTCAAGGTCTGCTTTCTTTCACACGTATCTAACAAAAAAAGGATCGACTTATACAACGTGAATTCTTTCCCGTTTTTTTATCGTAAGCAATCCAAGAGTCGTCTTATAAATCCATGACATCTAAATTGACAAGCCATAATAGTTTTGGATTTTAACTCTTCCACTCCCATGACTGACCAACAAGAGACAATTTCTCCTGACAGTATGAATACAATATCAAGCAGACAAGCGATGAGAATAAGGAAAAATATCGATTAAGGGTTAATCAGTTGATCCAATACTAAATTTTCCAACTCAAACCATAAGAATTGTGTGACAACCAGCGAGGAGAATTACTAACGAGATCTTGGGAGTGTAAGGATTAAGAGTGTTGTTTACTATTCTAAATTTGCATTATTTTAGGCCACGTACTATGGAGAACAAGGTGGCAAAGGAAAATGCACCCTTAACCCGTTGTCTCCGAACATTTTGAATGCCATTAGGAAGAAAAATTGGATTGTTGTTGCAGCTGCGCCTGGAACCTACCAAGAGTCTGTTGGGTGTGGTATGTGTGTTAAAATCACTGGCACGGGAGAAGGGAGTGGGGCTAACCCCATTACAGGAAACCGAAGAGCAATGATTGTTGATATATGCCCCGGTGGATGTGGAAACAGTACGTATCAGTGTCTTTGTATTTGATTGTGTGTTGAATGGCCCTCATGTTAGGATTCTGTAAATTCACGGAATGTTTAGCTACGTGTTTCTTTTCTAGAACTTTTCGATGCGAGCAAAAAAATTCATCCTCAAACTGTTCATTAAGATGTCTTGTATCGAATTATAACAGGAAATTTGATTGAAAAGGTAAGAAGAACAATTTATATATTCTTTTAAATTTACAGATGGGTTAGATTTCGCCGTTTCTGGCGACGGAAGGTGGAAAATTCACTATCAGGCTATTGACTGCCCGACCCTTCGAGGGATCGATGGTAAAATTCAGTTTCGTTTCCAAGGAAGCAACCCTTATTACATCAAGCTACAAGCAAGGAATACCAAGTGAGATTTATGCTAAATGTTGCTTCAAATTAGCGTGATAAGACTCATAAGGACCAAAAACTAAAACTGCTCTGTTTTAAGTTGAAGATGGCTGCACTGGATGATATAAAAACAAAAATAATATAAAAAAATGATACGATATGATAAGAAACGAAGGGAAACGACACGAGACGGAATGGAACGAAACGCAAGAAACGAAACGACCCGACACGGCAAGACAAGACGCGAAACGGAACGGAAGAGAACGAAAGAAACAAGACGAAACGAAACGAAATGATGCAAAGAAAATATAAATGAGTCAAAATATCCTTACTTGGATCCCCTTACGAAAAAATCAAAAACAAATAGAGTCAAGTTTTCAATTTTTCTCATCCTGTCGATCGGTTTTTTCTTCTGTTTAAGAATACCAACGGCTGGAATGGAACTCCTGGTAAATGGGAGGTACCACTGTATGAAACGTGTCTCCGACAACTTTTTCATCGCTTCAGGACTTGGGAAAATGGAAACTCCTCTGAGCGTACGTTTGACGGCCATTAATGGTTATCAAGTGACAACGAGAATTCCTGAGATTAAGAATGACTTCGACTTTCCGAGCAAGGTGCAGTTCAAGGGAATCAAACGCGGACGTGAGTAGATTTCTGGCAAAAAATTGCTAATCAAACTGAGATAATTTAATTTTCAAAAGTACAAAACTGGGTATCGTTTGGGCCAAATTCGATATTGAGGGTTAAATGATCTCGGCCCATCGATTTGCGAGTGGTTGCCTACGAAAGTTAAATGGTTACACCACATACTTTCTTGCAACCCCAAAGGCTAGGTTTTTAGATGCCAAGTTAATAATAAGTAAATAATAAATAAGACCTTGGTGTGTGAAAAGGAAAACTAAAAGTCATCCAAAAGACCACATGCAGAACTTGCTATGGGATTAAGTAACTAACCGCGGACCAGTTTTGCTTATCATGGCACGCTCAGGGACCAAGCTGTTAATTTTGCTTTACCTCATTTATTTATTTCATTTATCAATCAATCCATCTATTTGTTCATTCATTTACTTCTAATTTAAAATGAATGAATGGAAAGAGCTTATTGGGGTTTGATATTACTATAACTATTATTATTATCATTATTGTTTTTTATAATCATAATAAAATTCTCTCATTCCAATTTTTTTTTTATTCTTGTGTTTGATCGGCTGTAGCTGGGCCAGATGGCATAAAATGTTTTGGTCAAGGAGACAGACCCCCCTACCCATCAGGAGGGATGCAACGTTAGTATGGCTGTTTCTTTAAAGAATTCGATCATTCTAACTTTAGGATCTGTTAAATTACCTGTCTATTCCTACTTCAACAGTCTTCCAGAGGATATTTGCTTCTTGAAAGGATTTTTTTTTCTCCTTTAAAGTATTACTACAGTTTGATAGAAACTACGATCAGGTATTCGTTTAAGGGATTTTTCTAACTTAGCAGTAAATGCCTGTCGGTGAATTTATTGTTTCAATGGTATGAAGGTTTTAGTTTAAAAGAGCAACATAATATTTAGCTTTTTATACACAACGAAAATTTGATTGACACTTGAAGTTTCTCGTTCGTATTTTTTTTTATTAGAAACCATGATAAATGCAGACTAATCTCACAGCCGCAAATTTGTACTGATTTTCTGCATTTAAATTTACAGCTTGAACAGTACGTCAGGGATAATTACTTGTGCTCGACGGCTCTTGATCTTGCTTCGATCCATGGATTATCGTTTGCAAAATAAATTGGTTAACATGGATTGTTTCAGTTTTCACTTTTGTAAAAACGAGAGTCGCGAAATAAACTTTATAACTACCACCTGAAGCAAATTCAAAACGTGCTACAGCAACTATGTGATCTTTTCTCTGCATTAAAAAAATGCGTTCTTTAATTATGAAAATGACAATGTTTAGAGATTTCAAATGGTATCTTCACATTCTTTCAAAAACTTGTCTTCAATGTGCTATATATGACAATTTGCAAATTTGATTAAATATCAACAATTTGTCTCTCAAAACCGATCGTGCGCTCATATCCGACCAAAAATTCTAAGCCTTTCTCCTAACCCTAATCAAATTTCCTGGATAATATCTTATGCCACCTTTTGAAAGATGTTGTGTCTTATTTCCAGTCTTGGCTAATGCACCGTTTTTTCAAGTACTTTATTGCTCAAAAGAAAGCAAAATATATAAACATAAGGTCAGTTCTATTGCTAAATACCGCCTTTATAGGATAAACGCGACCCATTAAGCGTTCCAAGAATTTTAGCTATTTATTTTCCTTTCGAATATTTGACCTGGATGACTAAGAAAAATACTGTCTGGGTTAGGAAAGTATTTAGGGTAATATCCCTCTCTTCAGGTTTGTTAACTGCATGTCAGCAACTTTTCAACTAGTACATTAGCCCTATGATCGTGTTGGTCCCTACATGTAGAGCAAGAGAGCAAGCTCTACGCATCTTTATCGAGTCTCTGCCTTCTTCCAAGCGTAACCTTCCAAATCGACGTAAGACGATCAACAAGGCCACCAAGACGGTTGAGCTGGTTTCGATGAGAACCCTAATGTGCCGGACGCCAGTAATTTTGGTTCTAGCGCTCTGATCAACCTTCCAGACTGAGGAAGAATTAGAGAAGGCCTTTTGGTAGTGCCTAACTGTGGCTTGTGTCAATTCCTGCGTCAATCCATATATCTACGTTTACATCAACTTAACTTAACTTTGATGAACTTGATGAAGTTCATCAAAATGATTCGCGATTGTAGCTTAGGCAGGTTACTACCGATTTCAATCGGCCAAAGGAGAATTAACCCGGTTATTTGGGACTAATTCGAACCCGTAATGCTTGACAGCCTTTGCAAGAAGTTTGAAACTAAAGGTGCTTTCATTTATCAGTCCTGGCCAGACCGTGACTCTTGCCAGGATGATGAAAACAAAGTAACCCTCCTCAAAGGACAGAGTCCATTCGTCAAAACCAGCTGAGTTAAGACTCAGAATTATCATGATAAGTGGAAAGAGATCGAAGAAGAGTAAAAATACCTCTTGGCATTTATGCCCGGTATCTTTGTACAACTAAAACTTATTCACAGTTCATTAAAGCCGTTCCTGTCCACAAAATTTTTGAAGACTAAATTTAAAGTACGTACGAAACGTTTTATTTCAGCGCCAGTACCTGACAGCGGTACGCTTGTCATGGGCATGGATGGCCGCGCAAGTTTACACGGAGTGGCGCAGAAATCGTGAGTCTCTCTCTTAATTTCGATTAGCGTTTTCGGTGTAAGAAAAAACCATACAAAGTTGACCAATGAGTTTATGGAACTCTTTCTATATCCGCATGTCGAGAATGTTTTTTTTGTTGTTAGAAAATCACCTGTTATCTAATTGCTCGGAATGTCTTCTCGGCGCAGGGCAACTAAAGGAGAAGATCTGAGATATGATCATAGTACAGAAAAAATATTTTCTTTTTTCTGTTGAGGTGGGGATATGATGCAAAAGAGAAATAATAACAGCCGATTACGCTGATTTGGGCACTGGACGAAAGACTGCGAATAACGAAAGAAGCTCAAAAATAATTTTTACCAGAATTGGCAGTAATGTCGCTATATGATTAGCCAATTTGCCGCCACCGATAAGGATACAGAAAACGCTGCTCGCGCCAAGGTGTCACGTAATGGTTAAGCATTCAAGGAATCGCTTTATTTGAATTCATTATCGGGGTTAAAAACAAAGCGACAGCGGTTTGTTGCGGTTTGTTGCAGTTTGTTCACTCATGAGTCCACAACATCTTGACCACTTTGATGACAAGTATCGTTGTGGAAAGAGTTCAGACCACGCTAAACCACTATCGATTTGTTAAATAAAAGCAATTAAAATACGTACTCCTTGAAAATCCTAGGTTTTAAGGCGCTTCGTACTTTATAGAATTTGATTGGGTATCAACATGGAAAAAGCGTTATTAACATGTACAGTTATTGCTTGACAATTTTAAGAGGGAAATTAATTAAAAGCTGGGACATCAAGTAGTATATAAGTGCTTGACTATAGACGACATGTGAGGTGGGTAGATCTCCCGGTGATATTTCAGTCTTAATCAGAAAGACATCTGTCATTTAAAGGAAAGTGAAGAGTGCTTTTAGTAGCTGGACAATTTCCTGTGGATCTTTTTAGCTGTTGAAAATGCCCTAATCAAGTTATCCATATATTAACCTAACGATATTGAATCAAAGCATATCTCCAAAGCTTACAAAAGGTTACAGAGAGCTTACAAAGCTTACAAAGCTTACAAAGAGCTTACAAAGCTCACAAAGAGATGGCGAAAGTGCCTCCGGAAGAGAAATAAATGCTCAACATTTCCAATGATGACAAGCGATCTTTGTAAATGTTCTAAAGAAAAACTAGAATAGAAGCTTTTACCGAAAAAAATTGTTATAACCCTCAGAAATGTGTGATTTCTACGGGTTCCTTCTTTGATATTATTTTCTTTCGATCAACATTGAAGCACTTTGGCAACACTGCGGCATGCGGTAACATCTAAAACTAAATGCGTCTCTTAAAGTTTTTCGGTTGGACTTCTTAATTCACCTATTTTGAGTGACTGTTAGTCAAAAAGGAAGACCGAATTACGTCAAGGCTGTTTCAAAGCGCTGAAATAATGATTAGGCAATGCTACTTTGGAAATCGAAAATTGATCCATCAGTGTATAACTTTTTATCAAAGTGGCGCGACTCCATTAGGCGCTACCGGAATAGATACATTTTGATGGCATCAACTGACGTCTTGAAGTATTTCTACTTACTTTGAAGTGTCCTTCTCATGGAAAGTTACATTAAAGCTACTTTATGATTACCGCTTCACCGCCTTATTGATCGATTTTTCTTAGAGGTTGTAACCAATGTGTCCCTTTTCAATGAGGCTATTAACGGCATTGTTGTTGTTTCCGATGTATTTTAGCCATCGTCCCCCTTTTAAAGTTTATCAAGATCGTTAGTTGCAACGTAATGTCCATATTTTGTGATCTACATATTGTCTTGCGCGTGCTGCTTTAGCCTCTTCCATGCATGGCCGACTGGGACTCAGTTTTAATTGTTTTCTTCAACAGCGGTACAGCGATTCTTGGCAGTTGTGCCAACCTTCTGATCATAATTTCATTCTTTGTGTTTAACTCGTCAAGACAACCCACAGAGATCCTTCTTATCAATCTGTCTCTGGCTGATTTCCTGGTCTGTGCAGGCTACCAACCTCTTTTGGTGCTCAAGTTCAAAAATTATGGCGTAAGTCAAGTGTACATGTCATTCATCGGCCATAGCGTAATAACTGCCTCCATGAGTGGTTTATTGGCTGTGAATTTCGATCGCTTCTCGGCCATATATTTTCCTTACAAATATATAACCTGGGTGACTGAAAAAAACACTATTTCGCTGGTGACAATTTCATGGATGATATCTCTCTCCGCTGGCTTGCTAATTGTAAGCAACTTTTCAATCGCCGTACATATCTTCCACTTGTACATCAGCCTCATAATCGTGCTGGTTCCCCTCATGTATAGTGTCATATACAGGGAAGCAAGAAAGCAGGCGCGACGCATCGTTAGCCAGACTGCAAATCAATTTCCATATCGAAACATTATGGTTGACAGGGCCACTAGAGGGGTTGGGCTGGTGCTGATAACTACTCTGACGTGTTGGCTTCCGGGGATTGTATCTCCAGCGATCGTTGCATCTTTAAAAAACCATGAAGAGATACGGAAGGTCGTGTTTAGCTGTCTCACGGCCATCTGTGCCAATTCCTGCATCAATCCATTCATCTACGTTTACAAGTTTTCGAAATTTCGCCGCAGTGTAAGGAAGTTGATTCAAAGGATTCTCGAGGGTGCTTCCAGAAGGTTACCTCCGACCCTCATCGGCCAAAATAGATTCATTCCGACCCTCATTGGCCAAAATAGAGTCATTCCGACATAACAAGCTTTGGAAGAGTCTGAACTCTCTGGCCCTATTTCTCAGCAGGCGGTGGAAAGGGTACAATCTAATTCATAAATCAGTCCTGATCGATTAGAAAAAAAAAAAAGCGATGGGTGAAATTCGAAAAACCCCCTTTCTATAATACGACTTGTCTTTCAGCAATGGACTATCAATTGTATTGCTCAAATTAAATTCTCCTCTCCAAACCGGGCCGCGAATGCATCAGAACTGCGAAATTGATGACGTGAAACTTGTCTATGATTTTCGATTAAGCTCGCACATTCGTGGTAGGAAAAAACGGATCAATAAGACGCCAAGCTTTGGTCTAATATTTTAATACAACAGGGTGTCAATAATTTACTCCGATAAACGAAAAAAAGATATCATTTGATCAGACTCTAATGAGCTGAATATCTTTACTCTTTTAGCACGGTTAGCCCACTCAAAGACGTTTTCAAAATTTTGCTTTCAAGGACAGGTGATATTCTTGATGGGACGTAAGCTGTAAATATTCTGTGTTACTCTGACAAGTTTTATAGCGATATAAATAAGCAATACGTAAAGGTGGCCTAAATCAATAGATATTTTTGATAACAACTCTGTTTGTCGTATTAATGGGACTTCAAACTGATTTTAGTTTATTAAGGGAAGAAGCTTGGGGGTGAATTTTTTTTCGTTATTTTTGATTAAAACAGGACCAGTAACATTGACCAAACAAACGATTTAAAAAATGAGCAAGTTTCAATTCATTGGTAGGTGTTATAATTTTCTAGTCGCTTTCTTGCCACAATACATTAAATATATTAAATAGAGAATAAATAACGGCGCGCGTAGATATGGAATTTCTCTTCGAGTGTTCAACTCGATAGCTCCGAGTGAGCGCAGCGAACGGCTGAGATATCGAGTTGGACACGAGAAGAGAAATTCAACATCTACAAGCAACCATGTATTATTTTGTTTACCATGTTAACACAATAGCCTTTGGTGACAAGAAAAGTCGACCTCATTAATGAATGAAAATAAAAGAATCGACAATCGTACCGTACGTTGGCGTTAAGGCTCATGATGGAAAAATGGGTTGAATCATGATTACAAACAAAACAATGGGCGTAATTTCCAGTCAACAAAATTCTCATTTATTGACTTTGTCCTTACCGACAGAAGAAGTCTTTCAGATAAACGGCCAAAATCGGCTTGTGGCAAATCTTCGAGTTGTCGATGATTTTCGTTCTCAGCCGCAAGAAATGCCACTACCAAAGCCGCTGAATACGTAACTTTCGGTTTTTCTTTTCGTATTTGGTTTTGTTCTCCTTCTAGGAAACTTTGAGCCTAACTGTCTGTAAGCGGATTTTTTAGTGTTTCAGCAGCCATAATCTGAAAAAACTCCGACAAACGGCCCTGGATTGAGAATGGTGAAGGCTTCATTCATCATTTTGACCGAGTGGCGCGAGTGACGTGTCAGCAGCTGATTGGCGATATCAAACACATGTGAAAAAATATCGTATTTTTTCAGCTGTGTTGTTTTTCTCAGGGCTGGAAATCCTTGTATAACACCATAATCTATATGATAAATATATTTAACGCATGGATATTGGAGCATTTTATTGAAATTAATCAAGTTTATTTAAATTCATTTTGTGGCGATGCATGGATATATTTTTAGTCAGTTTTTGGATAGATTCTGTTTAAGAGACTCTCGAATAATTACCAGATCGTTGATGGATCCATTGAAAAAACCTTCTGTGCAAAGAAGCTTTATCGATTTAACAAAAAAAGGAAATACTTGGCCTCGCATCAAGCATATAAAATGAAATACGTGTAGGAATACGTGTAGTTGGCAGAGGCACCACCTCAGGTTTATTTCCTGATTATGACTCACAATTGAAGTAGTTTTCAACAACTGGAAAGGATCAGCCAGCATCAATAAACAGCTACAGTTTGTAATCAATGTTTAAGTGATATAGATGTTTGATAGTTTTTCTTGAGCTCTTTCAACTGTCTATTAACTTGTTTTAACTGTCTGTTTAGTTACTGAATGAGAGAGAACGGAGTTACTATCGATCAATTATTTTATCATCGTTTTTTATAACCTAAATTTTTACTGCTTACACGTTGTCTCTTACTCGATCTCTAAGGAAAAATTTATTCTTCAAAAAGATAATGTTAAATTCCGTTAGCGTGAAGACATTGCAGATGTCTTTTAAAATCACCTACTAGTGCTGATTCTAAAGGAAGGCAAGCTCGATGTACTAACAATAATCGAGAAAACGGTTGTCTTAAGGAACCAAAAAAAGGCACCTCCTACATTTATAAGCTTAGCGTTAGGGTTAGAAGTATGAGGTATGCTCCTTTCAGTCCCTTGTCTGCAGCGTAGTGGTGTGGGTCGTCTTTTTTAGTGAGTTACTGGTTTTTCTTCTGTTTTCCCCTCTAAATATTTTCTTTGAAAAAGCAAAGGAACTACAAACCATTGCACTCTCTACAAATCATCCCCTCAAAAAATCACAGGAGGCCAAAAAACCCGCATGATTGAATCGAGGTACATGTTAGCTATTTCCTAGAATTTATGATTATTTTTTCGTTTGACATAAATCCGGGTATTTCATGGAGCTGAGGCTACAGTGTAACTGTAGGACCACAAAATGGCTCGCAAATTATTCCTGTCGGTATTTATATGTGCCAGAACAGACGGCAACAGAATAGCCGGCAACTAACCTGACACCGTTGTTGCTAGCACCACTCCAACCAATGTGGTGGCTGTGTTTAAACGGCTACACCGCTTCGGCAAATTTTGTGGAGCTGCTGGCACAGTTTGCTTTCTTGCCTCTGTGTAAATGAAGTCGTAAATGAGAGGAACTGACCCAACGGTTCTGGTGTTGTAGAGATAAATAACTACTTTAACCTTTGCACTTCCCCTGATCAGAGACTTTCGTCTCGTAATTTATTTATGAGACTCAAGCGCTTGAGCTGTGTTTGACTGCTGTGTTTGTTTTATCGTGATTCGGCTTTGAAATTTTGCGCGGGAAACTGATGCGTGGTCGGCCAAAATTGATCCACTTTCGCGTGCTGACGTTTGAACACTGCGTTGGTTCGAAGTTTGAATCAGATATTGACGGCAAACAGGCAATTCTCCTTTTGCAATTTTTTTGCAAAGTTTACTGAGAAACCAGTAGCACTTCTCATGTCGGCAGAAGTTAAGGCATAAAATTAGGTTTCATGTTGAAGAGAAAGGGTTTAAGTGAAATCGAACAGAGACGAAACAGAGTGAGAATGATAAAGAAGAAACAGGCAAGGAGCGAAGAAAGTGCGAAGTATAGCATCGACAAATTACATGCGAGGAGCAAAAAACAGAAGAAACAATAAAGTTCTCATCTATAAGATCACAAAGAATGGGAAAAGGAGAAGGTGAGCTGAGTCTTATCTGCGTTTTCTTCACTACCAAGACTGGCCAAGAGTCACTACCAGTAGGATTTAAATTTTAAGTGATTGAAATCACGTTCAAATTTTGACTTTAAGCTTATATCGTTTCAGTATCTGCTTTAAAATCAATTATTGCAAGGGTTGTTTAATTATTCGCTTCAATAATTCGCTCTTCTCCTTAAGAACTGAACTTTCTTAACAAATCAAGCCTCGAGGGTGTGCTTATCGAGACAACAACTGTGGGATTTTCACATGCCAAATGATAAATTGTGTACACCAAACAGCGGTGCACGGACGGGTAGGCAAAATTTTTCTGTCAAGGTCAGTCATGAAACTGAATGGCTTCTTCTTAAAATAAATGTTCTTTCCCGAAATTGGGGCCTTTCGTGCTCTTAACTCACTTTCACAAATTCAAAAAAGAATTTAGAAGCAGTCAGCGTCGTAGAGTGAGTTCAGAACGCGGTAATTTAAATTTGCACGGATATTTACTGAACATTTCATTGTTTAAGACGTTGTTTAGATGCTATAGTAGAAGCCGCTAAAGCACAAAATAGACAGGTAGTGAATACATCATTTGTGCATCACAAATTACTTTAAGATGAGAGTAACATTATTAATTGTGTAGATGATGGTCTAACTTTTTACTTTTTCTCTCAGTGTCTGAGAAGTTTGATAATCACAAACCCCATATTTGTTGATCAAAAGAGAAAGCTGGTCCTCTATGTACTCAAACAGACCCTTAACTGCAGATTTTTATAAGCTAATAAACTGTTCAAAAGCCTTTGTAGAGTATTGATGGCAGTAGAATTAACTAACTGGAGTTTTAGGTGAAATATTTGTTTTACGCTAATTTTGTGGGCCTCTGTTGCATAATGGAATATTTGGCCACGGGGAACAGTGTTCTTCTTGCAAAATGTTATTTCGGTTTAAAATTTATGGGGCTAATTTTGAGCTTATTAGCTATCATTTTCGGCCATCTTCTCTTTGAAGTAACCGATTTCAGGTCCCAGCTTTGTTGAGCTTCCAACAGATGCTTCTGAATCGGAAGTGCAATTAATCGACTGTGCAACTAAATAGCTCATAGACGCCAAGTTCAAGTTTGAAATTACTTGTAATTATGTTTTTCTTTCAAATCTATTTACCGATAGATATACTAACATTGAAGATAAGCGTCAAAGGGTTATGATGCCGTGGTAAATTATTAATGCTGGGTGATTTTTGTGCTTCTCTCTTCTTTTGTAGCTTAATTCAATTGAGAGCAGACGCAAGGGATCTTGGACGGAGCTCTGCCTTGCGGCTGTCAGTAGGAGCATTTTTTCTTTAGAAATATCTTGCGAAAAATTAAAACAGTCAAACATATTCGTGGTGACAAAGTACTTTAATTTTTTCATGCATGGTGGGATTTTAAATTTTTTTCGCAAATTGAATACTTTGAGTAAGGAGTAAACAGAAACATCATATTAGCCGTTTGTTTGCCAGATGCTTGAAAATAGGTAAAATTAGTCATCCCTTGGTGCTGGGCTGAAACCTCTTGTTGCTTTTAGCGTAAAATGGGGATATATTTATTCAGTTGTTTGTTGAATCGAAGAGGGATTTGTTGCGCCAAATTTCATATTTTTACGATCAAAACCGACGTTACATC